ATGAGATGAGTTTGGCTAAGGTCATGGGGTGTAGGGAATCAAATCTACCAATCAAATATTTGGGGATGCCATTGGGAGCTAACTTCAAAGATAAACTAACCTGGGAACTTGTTTTGAGCAGAATGCAACATCCTCTTGGTGGAGTTTAATCAGGCTTTACAGAGGAAGTGGCTGTGGAGATTTTTGACAAAGGAGGGGGCATTATGGAGGAGGATCTTAGTTTGCAAATTTGAGGTGGATGACAGTGGTTGGTATGCAGGTGGGGCTTTGAGGTCCCACGGAAGGAATCTTTGGAAGCGGATTGGGGGCAGAAGGACATATTTCAGAGGTGTATTGCTTGGAAGGTGGGTAATGGTAATAATATCAGATTCTGGTTGGATCCTTGGATGGTGGGGGCTCCGCTATGTAGACAATTTCCCCAGATCTTTGCCATTGCTCAGAACAGAAATGTGAAGGTTGGTGACTGTTTTAGAAGAGGTAATGGAGCTGTTGGGGATTGACAGATTATTGTCTCTAGAAGACTGAATGACTGTGACTATCAAACATTTCCCTCAAGGATAACAATGACTACCCGAGGTGGACTCTCTCTAAGAATGCTCTATTTTCAGTTAAATCTTGGTATAAATGGATGGATAGAGTTGATGATAATGCTGATCCTTTTCCTCACAAACAGATTTGAAAGTTTTAAATCCCACCAAGGATTTTCTTTGCTTGGGAGGCCTGCAGAGAATGCATACTGACAATTGATAAATTAAGGAAGAGGGGGCCAGTGTTGGTTAATACTTGTTATTTATGCAAAAAGGCTGAAGAGAGTTGTAACCATTTGCTATTATAGTGCCCTATGGCTTTCAGTTTGTGGATGATGGCTTACAGAACTTTGGGTATTGATTGAGTTATGGCAGGTCAGTTAGGGAGGAGCTGTTGGGGTGGAAATATGCATGGGAGGTATCCTTAAGGTGAGTTGATCCCTCTCACCATTATGTGGACAGTGTGGAAAGAAAAAAATAGCAGGGTTTTTGATGGTGTTGATAATACTAAGGATTTTGATATTTTAAAGAATAAACGATTTAGGATCCTTGGGTTTTTGCTGTTGGGTCAACCACTAGAGGTCACCGAGGCTTTTAGAACTTTTCTGACTCGGGTTGACAAAGCTGTAATTACTGTAAATGGGTTGCACCCCCTTAGGTACTCATAACAATATATACATACTGTTTTTATTTCAAAAAAAAAAAAAAAATCGAAACCGAAAATAAAATATGATATTATATAACAAATTAATGTAAATAAATAACTAAAGGATTTTCCATGACTTGTCCCTTAAATGACCCATATTCGCTTCTTTGACTACCACTAGGCAGTAATTTCAGTGCTTATCTAATATGAACATTATAAAATGTCCTTTGGTGATTAAGGCATGAGCTATACACTACCTTTTTAATGACTAAGTTATAACCAATACAACACATTTTAATGTCTGAGACAGAACTAATAAATGTTGTCTTTTACAACTTAGATTGAACCTTCTTCTTACCTTTTAATGGCTGTGGTGGAACCAATACTTACCTTTTAGCAGCTCAGTAGAATCAAAACCCATAAGCTTAGACTCCCATTAAGTTTAGAACAATGTTCTTTTAATTAGCTCAAGTTCATTCTACTTCTCCTGACTTAGATTCTTTCCTCAAGTCTAGTATTGCATTCACCCAAGGAAAAAGAGAAAATTAAAACCTATAGAAGGTCTAATTACATAATGTTTAAGCTTAAAAATACACTTGTACCCTTTTTTTTTTCTTGTTCATTATTCTCTTAATTTCTCCAAGTGCTGTTTGACCCTTCCTTGAAGCTCCTATTTCTAGTTGCATATGCTTTCCTGAGTTGTTCTGCAGCATACTGATTTTTCCATGAACTTATTCAATCTGTTCAAATACTTCTGATGGTTAGTTTTAGATGAAAATTAAATAAATAAATTTTGTCCACACCCCATATAATTCAAATCTTACAAGCAATTTTTATATGATTAACAATCTATTACATGCTACTATACTTATGGTAATATATGCAGCTCTGTTGTTGTTCAAAGGTAAAATTTCTATTGATACTTGGAATGCTTTCATTTTTCTGATTTCCAGATTATAACTGGATCAGAGGATGGGACTGCAAGAATATGGGGTAATTTATGTTTTAGATCTCAAGTGATTGAGATAGAAAAGATTATCATTCTGTTCATTACGTCTATTTTAGTGTGATTTTACAGCTGGTTTAAATGTTAACGCACTTAGGTGAATCAAGTTTTCTGCAAAGAGTTTATGCGAACGTTTATTGTCTGCTCATTTAACAGCAGGATAATTTTAATAGAACTATGTAGTTACTCTCATCTACGAGTGGTTGTTACACAAATTTAGAGAGTGTTTGAGATTGCTTTAGTGACATAAAATTAAGCTACTTATTGAGTTCTTAAAAGTAACTTAAGGAAATAAATAATAAACACCTCATTCCTAATTTTATAGATTCTTATTCTTTTTGTCTTAAAACTATAATCTTGATATTCACTTCGAATTAGCATATATATATATAATTATCTAAATCAAGCTCTCATCTAACTTCTTGACCTAACCCTAACCGTAGACCATTCTATCATCTAACTCCTTGACCTTTCTTCTATCTCAAGCTCTCTCTTTCCCTTCTCTCTCGCTCTCTCACTCCTTGACCTAACCCTAACTGTAGACCATTCACCCTTTCTCCCCTATTGCTGATCTTCACTAAACAAACCAAGAGACTCAAGAGCGAAAATCGTCAGTCGGCCGACCAAAAACAGTTTCCGTTTTGATGTCATCAGACCACCCACTTTCCCCTTTACTCTTTATTATTGCTATGGAGGCTTTTAGCAAGTTGTTACATAGGACCACTGATTTGAACATGATTAATGGCATCACCATTGGAAAGGAGAATAGGCAAATCAAATTATCACATATCTTTTTCGCTGATGACTCTTTGATTTTCTGTGAGCCAAAAACTGAATACCTATTATACTTGAGATGCATTCTCCTTTGTTTTCAGGCTATTTCTGGTTTAAAATTAACATGAATAAAACTGAGTTGGTGGGTATAGGTCTGAGTTCGGATGAAAGTGATCAATTGGCCACTGTTTTGGGCTGTCAAGAAAAGAACCTCCCTATCAAATACCTTGGTTTTCCACTTGGCCTCAAATGCAAAGATCACAAGGGTTGAGAACCAATTGTTGATTTTTTTGACAGAAGACTTGCGACATGGAAAAGAGATTTCCTCTCAAAAGGTGGAAGATTAACTCTCATTAAAAGCACACTCTCTAATCTTTCTTTATATTATCTATCGGTTTTCAAGGTATCGAATCGAGTGACTAAACAATTAGAGACCATTTAGAATAGGTTCCTTTGGGGTGATTCGGAAAATAAAAAAGCATATCATTTGGTCAATTGGAATGAAGTTAAGCTGCCAATGACAATGGGTGGCCTGGGTATAAGATCTATTAGTATTATCAACATGGCAGTCTTATCTTCCCTAATAGATTTCATGGGACTAGTGTTTGGAAGGGGATTTTACCCATATTCACCGAGTTGATGTCTTAACACTTGCTGGAAAATTGGTAATGGGTGTAGGGTAAATTTCTGGAATTACCGTTGGTGTGGTAAGGATAAACTTAAATATGTTTTTTTGGCAATTTATTCTATTGCACAACGCAAAGATATAACGGTTTCTGATGCTTTTGACATTGATGGACTGTATAATGTATTGGTTACCTGAAATTTGAATGATTGAGAGTTGGAAGAATATGGGAAATTCCTAAATCTGATGGCTGACATTAAAAATTCTAGACAGACCTGACTGTTTGATCTGGAATGGAAGAAAAATGGCAAATTCACTATCCGGTTCTTCTGCAAACTGCTTTCTAGCGCCAATCTCCAAACTGCTTTCTAGCGCCAATCTCCAGTGCATCATTGCAAATAACTCTCAGTTTCCCTTCAAATCTATCTGGAAGACTGGTGCTCCTCCCAGAATTGCTTTTTTTGCTTGTGAAGCCAGTAAAGAGAAGATTCTGACCTTAGATAACTTGATGAAAAGAGGAAAAATTATGGTTAACAGGTATTTTTTTCTGTAAGTGTGACGCCGAGAGCTGCAATCACATAGTGTCCCTTTGTCTCAAATCTTTGGTCCATGAACTTTAATCTGATTGGTTTTACTTGGGTTGTGGCTGGATCCGTTCACGATGAACTCCTAGCTTGGGAAGGTTTAAACTCAAACAATCATGTTAATCGCCTTATCCCCCTTATTATTTTTTGGACTATTTGTAAAAAAAGAGACAATAGAACTTTTAATGATAAAGAACATACCATTGTAAATATTAAGAATATATGGTTACATTGTTTTGCCTCCATCTTTTTGAGTCATAATTTATTATCTTTCGACGACATTGGACCTGTTATCGATATTCTCTTAGATATGTAATACTTTTATACATGAGCGGTACCTTTTTGGTGCCATTTCTTAATACATCTACTATTTTTATCTCAAAAAAAAAAATATTTATATAATGATGTAAGTTTTAAAATTTTGGAAATATATACATTTTTATAAATTTGTTTAACAAAAAATACTTATGTTTGCAGTCAATACTTTATAGAAACATATTTTAAATAAGAATCTATCTGCTTTAAGTAAACTAAAAGCACCATTTTGTTTAATTACATTTCTTTAAGTAATCCAAAACACCCTCTTAATCTATTGTCATGTCAGCAAGTAACTTCTAGTGAATTTAGGGATTTGTCTATTTCATAATTTTAAGGAAAAAATTACATTTAATCTTTGATGTTTAGATATAATTATTTTCTGGTTAGATATCTTTTTAAAATAACAACATATTCCTCAAATCAGCTTACCAGTATATAAATTTCAAATAAAAACTAATTTGCTTTTCTTAGTGACCTATTTATACAATAAGATCTCATACACATTTTATGTTATTCTCGTACTATAATTGCTGCTGCTTTACTACCAATTGAACTAAAGCTTTTAGCTCATTTTCTCAATGTTTTTTAAGCAGAATATATTGTCATGTTATATCTTTTAAGCAGGTTCCATTCTAATTCTGTTTTTTATAATTTCATAGTCATGCAATGGACATGTCTCATATAGTTAACCAACATATATTATTAAGATGATAGACTAAGTTGACAAATATATTCGGTACAAGGAACGTGTTGCTATCCTGTAAAGACTAGATCTAGTTGTAGTTGTAGTTACGCAGTTTATGTTACTTTCTAAATCAGCTTGGATGCATTCCTCAAATCTTGATATCTACTTTCTGTGGTCTTGGGAGAGTTATGATTGTGTCATGAAGAGGGACAATTTTTGCTACGTTATGGGTGACAATGGTTGGAACGAAATTTTAGGTACTTCAAGCAATGGTTTTAACTGCTGCATATGTTTTTACATGGAGAGTTCTTTGTTTTCCCTTTTAATGATGGTTCACAGTTTCTTCTGATTGTGGTCCTTATGTACTCCTGCAAAGGGGTTAGATGGCTAGATATTTCTGCTTTTGTCTCGTTGTGCTTCTCTGTTTTTTATATGTCCTCTATTGTTTTGGTAAGAGCTTTCTCTTTTTTTAATAATATTTCCTCTTATATCAAAAAATCTTTTTTAACCATACACTTATAAGTGATTTTGCTGAGGGAAATGTTTATGGTGTTGACCAGATTGCAAAAGTGGGAAGTGTATTAAAGTAGTTGATTCAGTGACGGATAAGCTTGAAGGGTTCAAATCCTGTGTTAGTTGTGTTGCACTTGATGGTAGTGAGAGCTGGTTGGTAAGCATTCAAGTGATTAAATTTTATTATTGTATTCCTTTCAGTCTTCGTATGCCTGTCAGTGATTATTTGCTGTCCACAGATTTAGAGTTTTGCTCTCTTTCATTAGCGTTAAGATGTATCTAGTTTTTTTTGCCTGCATTATTGCAAGATAAATATAATATGATGAAATTAGTCTAAGCATGTGAACCTTAAAATATGCAAGTCTAAGCATTTGTTTAGTCTATAATAAAATTAGTCCTCAGGTGTAACCATATTCTTAATCTTACTTTACAGGCTTGCAGCAGCGGCAGAAATTTATCAATATGGAACCTTCCTGCTTCTGAATGTGTTTCAAGGATCTTGACCTCTGTGCCTGTACAGGATATAGTATTTGATGGAAATCAAGTAAGTGGAAAGGAACGGGTCGCAGTTGAGCAATCTAAAATGTTTCCGATAGTTTTCTGGGAAGGCATTTTAGAAATGTGATTGGTCTTGGGCTAGCTTCATATATTTCGAAATTAGTAGCTAATTGAAGGAAAGGCTAAAAAGGAAATTCAATATCAAAAGAATTTCCTAACTTTTTTGGTTCATATGCTAGGTCTTACTTTGCTTCTTTTTATGAAATTCTTCATTCAGTTCTTTTAATATTTTTATTTTTCTTTCCACCTAATACATGTTATATTTATATGTATTATCATTTCAGATTTTAGCCGTTGGAGCAGACCCTGCAGTCACTCGCTTTGACATAAATGGAAAAATACTTTCACAAATCCAATGTGCTCCACAGTCAGCATTTTCTGTGTCGTTACATTCTTCGGGTGTATGTACTTTGTTAAATTATTACCGTGTTAGTATAAGGTTTCGCAATATCTCTTTATTTTTCTTATAGCTATTTTCCTATTGTTAGTTTCCTTCATCTAACATGTTGAATGAGGGGAATGATGGGAAAATATAAAAAAAAGCAGTGAATTCTCACCATTTTTTTCTTGTTTGGATGGAAAAGAAAGCAACAGAGAGGAAGAGATGGTGAGGTCCTTGCTTTCTCTTTTTTTTTTTGAAAGTAAAAATATAATATGTATTGCTATAAGCATCAACTGGTGCAGATCATGTACAATTATTTACAGCTTAATCCTCCAAACAGAAAGTATTCCTAAACGTTTGGATCATAATCGGAGGATGACCCAAAAGCAAAAATTCTAGGGTCCTAAGCCATCTAACTTTCAGTATATCAAAACCCTTTGTATCCTCAATTCCTTCAGAAGCTCTAGAATTCCTAACTTTCCATACAACCTGTTTGCAGAAGGTGACAGCAAGACTCTTCAGCCTGTTTGCATATGTAGCAAACATTAACCAAAGTGAGTCCCCTTCTCTTTAATTTATCAATTGTTAATATACATTCCCTGCTAGCTTCCCAAGCGAAAAAAAGAAACCCGAGGAGGCACCTTTGCCTTCCAGATCTGTTTGAACGGGAAAATATTCCTTTCAATATCAGTCAATTGTGCTGGCTCATCATGCTGCATCAATTTTTTGTACCAGGATTTCACCGTGAACACCCCTTTTTTGTGATATTCCACCAAAGCTTATCCACATTGTTACCCAAATTGATACCAGCTAGGATCATCATCAAATTTTCATATTCCATTGACTCCCAGTCATTTAAATTACGACTCACCACCACCTCCCAAGATCCTTTTCCATCCTGATTTCTCTCAAAACAATCCGAAACACGGGCAGCCTTGTGGGTGGAAATACTATAAACATTGGGAAATCTATCTTTGAGTGGACCTCCTTCCAGCCAATGATCATTCCAGAAATTGATCTGAAACCCATTTCCAATTTTCCAAAGAATTTGGTTTATAAAACTTGCTTTACCCATTTCAATTTTTTTCCATAAATATTTACTGTGAGTTCTCTGCCTCCCAAGAGTCAGCCACCCGAACGCATCAAGCCCATATTTAGAGGCAATCACTTTCCTCCACATAGCGTTATCCTCATTCATGAATCTCCATAACCATTTACCCTGCAAAGCTTGATTCATCTCGATCAAAGACCGAATCCCAAGTCCACCCTTCTGTAAAGGTTTCTTCAATTCGTTCTAAGCGACCAAATGAAACTTTCTAGCATCCACAGAATCACCCCAAAGAAATTTTGATTGTATAGCTTCCAATTTTTTTGCAGCACTAGCCGGAATTGTAAACAAAGATAGGTAATAAACTGGCAAGTTGCTCAGTGTGCTTTTTACTAAAGTCAAACGGCCTTCTTTAGAAAGCAACCCCTGTTTCCAACCAACAAGTCTCCTCTCAACATGGTTGATTACTGGTTCCCAGACCCTTTGATCTTTGTAATTGGCACCCAAAGGTAACTCAAGGTACTTAATAGGAAAATTTGATGATTTACAGCCCATAATCTCAAAGCCAAATTCACATGATGCTCCATATCACCCATCTCTATAAATTCAGATTTTGCCAAATTTATCTTCAGACCGAAAACCACTTGAAAACCCATTAAAATACATCTAATACTCATCACCGCAGTGTTCTCCAGTTTACAGAAAAGAATGACGTCATCAGTAAAAAATAGATGTGTGATCTCCTCCTTACACCTTCCATCCCCAACGTGCAGGCCCAAAAAAAAAATCCAGTTCTCTAGCTTTTGGAAGCATTCTATTTAAAGCCTCCATTACCACAATAAACAAAAGTGGTGATAATGGGTTCCCCTGTCTCAATCCTTTTGAAAGCCTAAAAAATTCTAAAGGACCCCTATTTATGACTACTGCATAAGACACCGAGGTAATACAAGTAGTAATTCATTTTCTCCATCTATCACCAAAACCCAATCCTTTCAGCATGTAATCAACAAAAACCCGATTCACGTTATCGTACGCCTTTTCCATATCCAGTTTACAGAGCACACCTCTCCTCTTCTTATTAAGCATTTCATCAATAATCTCATTTGCTATAAGTGCAGCATCTAAGATCTGACGGCCTCCCACAAAGGCGTGTTGTGAGCTACCAACTAATCTGTTCAAGACACTTGTCATTCTTCTGGTTAGAACTTTTGCAATTAGTTTGTACAAACTGCCCACCAAACTAATGAGTCTGAACTCCTTAATTGAAGAGGCCCCACTCACCTTAGGAATCAATACAATGAAAGTAGAATTGATAGCCTTTACAAATTTACTGGAGCTATGAAATTCATCAAACATTTTCGTCAGATCAACATTGAACACAGACTAGAAAAATAACAGAAAACCCATTGGAAAACCGTCAGGGCAAGGGGCTTTATCCTTATTACACGCCTTCAAACCATCCAAAACCTCATCTGTAGTGAAATTCCTTTCCAAATCCAAGCTGCTATCCTTGTCAAGACAATTGAAGGATAAACCATCCAGATGAGGTCTCATCTTCATCTGTTCCGAGTATAAATCATTAACTTTTCAATCGATGAGGTTTCTCATAACTTCCATATGCCATTCTCCTTTCCCCCCTAATATCTTTATATGACTCGTGTACCGAGATATCCTTATGCCCATGCAATATCAGAGATTTGGAAAGACTGTTTTTTTGAGTGATCCCTCTGTTTACCAAGCATCGATGCAGAAACTAACTTTGTCCCCCATGTCAACCCTCTGCCTGATACAATCCTAGAATTTGTTCTTATCTATGCATATTGTTTTTACATTTCTTTCCTATGTGGTCTAGTTGATGTTCTGGTGTACCATCCTCCATCTAGGTCCCAAATTTCGCCTCAATCACCCTCCACCAAAGGGTACTGTTTTCATTCATGGATTTACAAAACCATTTATTTGTAAGACCAGATTACCTCCACTAAAGGTCTAAACCCCAAACCTTCCTGATACATAGGTTTTTTGACCTCTTCCCATGCTATTAGGTGATACTTCTTCATATCTACTGAGTCACCCGAGAAGAATTTACATTGAATTGATTCTAGTTTATTGGTTACACTCGTAGAGATTGTCATTGGTCATGTAATAGATGGTGATATTGGTAATTGTACTCTTAATGAGGTCTCCCCCCTTTAGATAAGAGGTTTTTCTTTTATCTCACCAATCTCCTGTCAAACCACGCCACCAGATTCCGTCATTACATCCTTACATTTCACCCCTATGGTAACCTCAAGTATTTAATGGGCAACTCCATATTTTTACATCTCATGACTTTTGTCAAATAGAAAGCATCCCTCCCACCACCCAGTCTCATTAGCTCGGACTTGGCTAAATTAATATTGAGTATAGAAACCACTTGGAAACTCAGTAAAATACATTTGAGGTTAAGCATGATTCTCTCTTCTAGTTCACAAAGTACCAAAGTGTAGTCAGTAAAAAACAGGTGAGTTACCTCCTCCATCTGCTTATCCTCACCCACCTTTAAACCTTTTAGCTCCATGTCTCTGGTTCTAAGCAACATTTTGTTTTGAACTTCCATGACAACTATGAATAGAGGAAAAGACAAGAAATCACTTTGTCTCAGGCTTCTGGAAGCTTTGAAAAACAAAGAAGAAGCTCCATTCACCATGACCGCAAGAGAATTAGTAAAAATACATAGGTTGATTCCCTTGCACTATATGTTCCCAAAACTTAATCTCTTCAGCATATAATCATGAAGTCCCCAATTTATATGATTATAGGCTTTTTCTATTTCCAACTGGCATAGGACACTCTCCCTATTCCTGTATAATAGATCATGTCCAATCTCATTAGTTAACAAGAGCCGCATTCAGAATCTGCCTTCCTTCCAGAAAAGCATGTTAACATTTGCCTAGTACCATATCCATCACCTTAGCTATCCTTCTAGTCAATACTTTCTTTATGAGCCTATAAGCTCTTCCAACTAAACTGATAGATCTGAAATGTTAGGTGCCCCTTCCACTTTTGATGTGAGGACTAAGAAGGATAGGTTTAAAGATTAACAAAAGATCCAGATTCAGGAAACTCCTTAAAAAGCCCAAGAATATCTTCTTTTGTTACGTGCCAAGGTTGTTGTAGAGAAAACTATGTTGAACCTATCAAGACTAGGGGATTTATCCTATCTACACGGCATGAGTTCCTTAAGAATCTCCTCCTTAGTGAACTATCTTTCAGGTACTGCCTGGCTTTATTCATCCAAAGATGTGAAGCTCAAACCATCTAGCTTGGACCTCCAGCTAAACTCCTCATGATATAACCTGCAAAACTTTTCCTCAGTTGCTAATTACCTTTCACTAGTCGACATCTATCTCGATCTCCTCCACATAATTGATCATCTTATGGTGATTTGCGGTGCAGTGGAAGAATTTCATGTTTATAACCTCCTCCCTAATTCATTTGGCACTCAATTTTTGTCTCCAAGAGATCCTTCATTTGTAATCTATTTGCCAATTCAAATTTTCTATATGTCTTTTGAGCCAAGTCTTGGGTTAATAGACCACCCTCCTCCATCCTATCAGGGGTCTCAATATCTTGTAGTAAAGATTGAGTGATCATACCTTTACCTTTCCTCCTACTTCCATCACTTCTTAATTTCAGCCTTTACCACCTGCATCTTCTGAGCCATTCTAAAGCTAGTCTTACCATCTACCCTTGCCCCTCTCCGTCATTCCTTTATCTTGTCATAAAAAATATTAATTTTTAACTGTTTGTCTTCAAACCTGAAGGGGCAAGGACCCTATTTAATCCCATCAGGGACTAGGCAATTGGGGAAATGGTCAGAGAGTGCGCTGTAAAAGTTTTTGGCATAAGCTTGTTGATTGTAATTGATAGGAAAATGAGACCAAAAACCTATCAATTCTGGAACAAGGCGGGTTGATTCTTTGATTGGATCATGTCCACTTACGTCCCATGAGGGGTAAATCCAATAGTTCAATCATGTCTAGAGTCTCCTTGAAGTGTCAGCACAAATCCTCGAGAAATGCTATCTGGATCTCTCGTCTTCTCAAAGTTATGTTAAAATCTCATTCAATAATCTACAGAAACTTTTATTTTTGCTTATAGTCATTCAAATTCTTCCACAATATACCCCTCTGTCCTCCTTCAACTCTGCTGTACACACCAGTAAACACCTCCATCCATTTCTACAATCCTTGAAGAGGCATGAAATAGAGCATCCCCCAACAAAACATCCTCACAATAAAGAATCCTTTCATTCCAAAGAACCAGAATCTCTCCAGAAGTCCCCCTTGCAGGTAGATCCTTCCCTTAGTCTTCCAAAGGGCACGACAATCCCACTTGAGATGGATTCCATCATAGATTCCTGAAGGCATATTAGATCAGGTTTCCATCTATTCATGCGACTCCTTATCATCTGTGGCTTCTTGTGATCGTTTATTCCTCTAATATTCTAAGAGATGATACAACCGAACATAGTTTAACTATCACCAATAACCACATTTCCCTTCTTTATTTCCCTTTCTTGAGCTGTCATATTGTGATCGTTTATTCCTCTAATATTCTAAGAGATGATACAACTAAAAATAGTTTAACTATCCTCAATAACCACATTTCCCTTTCTTTATCTCCCTTCCTTGAGCTGTCATAATTTATACCTGCTTACAATCTTCTTAACTCTTTAGGACCCTCCACCTCTTGTTTATTTTTTACTTTTGATTTTAACCTCTCCACTCTCACCCGCTCATTCTTTCTTTTCTCTATTTGTAAAGAGCATCGTGGCATGTTCTTCTAAACTGTCAAACATAACACTAAGCATGCTATTAATCTGCTTGATATTCTGGAAAACCCATTTAGAGTTTTCTTCCTCAATCAGATCCCTTATCTTCTCCCCCATCTCAACATCTACTGTCAC